CTCTATCTTTTCTTACTGTCTCCTCGTTTTTATCTTTTGCTTCTCTATCTATTACCGTGGTAAAGCTGCTATCGCTGTCGTAGTCGACCAGCGCATCTTGGCCTTCTTCTTCTTCCATCTATATCGGGATTTAAATATCAACTGAACATTAGCATTCCTCTTTTGACAAGATAAACCAACATTCGTATTGACAAATAATAATTTACAATTTCTATCACTAGATCTCTTTCAGCGATAAAAATTTAATGCTTATGAGGCTATATAGAACGCACTGCAATTCACAATAACCCCAAAGCGAGAAAACCACGCGTCTCTGCAGGGCTATCCGCACGCGCACACCACTGTCCGTTGCGATCCCCAGCACTGCTGAAAAGATCTATGGGAGCTCGGGTTGATCACGCACACGCACGGGGCCCATACAAATTTACGCGGCTTCCCTAAACAGTAATCAAGCTACACCGCACAGCAAGTCATGCTCAATTACCGACCCGATACATATCGATTTCAAAAAAAATAAACTCATATAGAGTCATATAGAGTTTTTATACATACGCATACATTTACATGTATCGCAATCTAGCATACGCATACATTTACATATATCGTAATCTAGCCATCTAGCATCGATGCCATGTTGTTAGTCGAAATCGATTATGTGTTTGTGCGCGCCCAGCAACAAGTTCTGCGCGCCAAAAACAATGACTCTCGCCGTCTACGATCGGACTTCCGCGCGCCAAAAGAAATGACTCTCGCCGTTCACGATCGGACATGCACGCGCACGTCGCCGACTTGCTACCAAGCGGCATTTTTCTATCTCTTTTTCCTTCATTATTCTCTACTTCTTTATTACACTTTATACATCTATTCTCTAATTCTCTTATTACCATTATTACCTCTATTTCTATTTCTCGAGAAAAATGGCAAAAACATCTATCTCCTTGTAACAGTATTTATCGAACGAACATTCTTATTAACAGAGAATTCTCTCGTTTTGCTCGTCAGCAACGAGGAATATTATTTACTTACCCTCTAATCTTCTAGATGCTTCTATCTCTTTCTATGCCCTTCGCCGGCGTTTCACACACTTCGTATATACACTTTCGTGCTATGTTCCTCACGCAGGGGAATCGTGCACTGGGCCCATAACCTATTGGAAATATAATCAGGGACGACTTGAAATGTGGTGAGATGGGCAGGGAACACAACAATGTTGATCTTTATACACTTTAAATACTGTCTTTATTATATATAAGTATATTACACTCTGTAACTTAAACCGTAACCGACACGTCTGAACACGACGGTGATTGAGGCTCTTGTGAGCACCACTGATGCCCGCACGCACGCGTGGCGCGCCGAGTCGCGCCGCCAACCGGGGGCTGCCCTCTAAAAGGGCGGGAACTTATTGCTCGTTCAAAGTCTTCTCCCAACAATATTATATACATATATTCGAATAACAGGAAAAATAAGAAAAATTAAAGCAAAAAAATTGTTTTATATTTTTCCGGAACTATTGTCTATTTAATATAATTCCTTTAATATAATCCGGGACGGGGCGAGATATCTCGAAACATGTATGTTTTATATAAAAAAATATTTTAGGTAAAATTAATATAAATTACTAATATAGTCGTACAGTGGTGTGTGTATATTATATACTATATATGTGTATATACATATAATACAGTATCGTGCAAAAGTTTGCGCCGGGCGTCGATACGAGATACGAAACGGCGACAACGGCGTGCGGCGCGCCCCGTCACCGCCGTAGAGTTAGCAGACAAATTGAATATTTTGGAATTATTCTTTTTCATATAATTTGGGAATTATTTGGGGAAGTTTGGGAAAATTGTTTAAACATTTGGGAAAAAATAGATTTTTTGTTATTAACAAAATTTATCGAGCGTCAGTTAGCAGATAGCGACTATGTTTATTATAAATGGAATCGATTGAAAATTATTTGGGGATGACATCTTTATTGTAATTTTTATTTGGGAAAAGTCGCTTTTTTTGTAATTAAATAAATCTCTGTATTACTGTTCTTTTTTGCTGCACTTCTCCACTAGTACAACAAGTGACCTTATTGCACTATATATATTTTTCGGAGGAGCAGCGAGTTGCTTATGGCTGTTTTCCAGCAAGGTGACACAGTGCGACACTGTGCGACACTGTGCGAACACTGTGTCGAAATCTACACCGATGCTGTGTCGAGATGTGCTTCGCTGTGTCGTTGTTGGAAAGCACTGTGTCTGACACTGTGCCACACAGTGTCGCCTGTGTTCCTTGCTGGAAAGCACCCTATGTCGAGACCGTCGAGTAGACCTCGACATGACAACATACTCCGAAAAGAAAATTTGTAGATGTTATTTTCTTCATATATACTTCATATATACATTATTTATATCTTATAAACAGAGTAATTTTTTTATTTCCTGTTCAATAATCGTGGTACACTGACTCGCATGAGTCGGAAATCTATTGGGTTGAAAGAAGAATTTCTTTTCCGACACGCGGTTACATTTATCACTAATAATAAGAATCTATCTTCTTTTCTCGTTGTTTCAATGTATCTTATTTGGGACAAACGTGCGAGCAAGCGAGAGTGTGAATGAATATATGAAAAGTAGAATAAAAAAAAAACAAAATGTAAGAGAGAATGAGAATAACGAGCATTATTTATATTGTGTTAGCATTTATTATTTAATTATTTAGATTGTGTTAACAGATTCTGTTATACTTCTGTTAGCGTTCTACTGACATCATGTAATATATCAGAACCGTCATCAAATCTGTAGTCTTTCTGCTGACAAAAATTTGTAGCAGATACTCTGCTTTTGACAGACTTAATTGACCGTCTGAGTATTTTATAAGAATTAAAATAATGTAAGAACGAATAAGCATGAATGTAAGTGCAAAAGCAATGTAATTATTTTGTAATTTTTAAAAATTTAATGAAGTCTATGCATTAACACAAAATACTTGTCTTGTGAATAAGCATGCTTTTTTCCAAAGTATCAAGAAAACATAATCGGCAAGGAAGTTACACTATCCATTTCGAGAATTTTAAATCTAATATTGGCGAAAATCTAAATTCCTCAAAGTAAATAAAGTATCAGAAGAATTTAAACGAGATATAAAAGATGATATAGAGAAAAACTTCAGAGTAATATATTATATTTTCTTTCTTTTTCTATTATAAGCAAAATTAAAAGAGCAGTACAAGTTGATTTATGCTATAACTTATTCTCATTTATTATAATCACTATATAGACAACTTATAATACAATACAGTACATACGTTACACTCTATCATATGGCTGTCTTCTAAAAAACATAAAGAAAAAGCACTCTACTTGTATTTTTTATGTAACATATCAAACATGTAACATGTTATATATATATATATATATATATATATATATATATATGTTTGTGCATTAACGTTTTTGAGGACGGTCCTCAATAATCATTATAACCATACATTGCTGTTTTCGAAGACACTAAATATGTCCTCAACCCAGACAGCACACAATATCCTATGGATGTCCATATTATGTCCAGAATGCCAATGGACGTTATATGAATATTTATGGGATATTGGTGGTATCGGGGAATGGCATTATTAGCAGAATGCGTCCTTTGAGGACGGTCCTCGAAATATCATATCGTGAAGATATTGTAAGACTAATTATTCGACATTTTAGTTAACAGTTATATACTATGTTTACGCGAACGTTACTTTTGTAGTAACTTACGATAATTCCTCTGTATAAACGAGTGTAAAGATACGTAATAGGCCTCCAGAGATAGTGTTGGCCAACTAATTATATATATGCAGCGGAATCCTTATGATTTGCAGTTCAAATTAATTTAATTTATTTCTCACTTTGTTATACTTTTTTATGTACGTTTAAAATGTTGTAATTTAAAATAAATAAAAAAAATGACGAAAGAAAAACTACATATATTATTTTGCATTAATTATTATTTATTTAAAAATCGCACATTGCTGTTTTTGTAGGCTATTCGATAACGGTGACTGTATTCGTGGCGAGGTGGACAGGAAAACACACGTATTTCTCGAATACTCTATATATTATATATTTGCTCTTCGTACAATACACGTCTGTACTCTATGATACCGTGAGCTCTTGTGAGCTCCCACAACGACCGCACGTAAGCGTGACGCCCCGAGGCTCGCGCCACTCGGGAGCTGCCCTCTAGAAGGGCGGGAGCACGTCGCTCGTTCAAAGCCCGGCTTCTCATACTCCCTCCCTTTGTGCGAGCGATCCGTGTTCGTCTAATTTTCTTCTTTATCTGTAACATATCAAAAATCAGTTATCGAGTAAAATAGATCTCTAATTCTGTTCAAACTCTATATTCATTATTTTGTCTCTTAGATATGCAAATGCTTCTAAAGGTAAATTGTCATAATGTCTGCCAAGTTCTCTTTGGTCTCAATCCATTCGACTTTCACCTTCCCTTGATCAACACACTGCTTGATAAAGTCTCCATGAGTGTCAGCCATATGTTTTCTGTTTCCAGTTTCTTCTCTTTCTTCTAAGTTTTTCTTTATTTCTTCTAAGTTATCATCAAACATTTTAAGTTTGTGACTTCCATCCTTCTTAGTGCAGTTTCCTGCTGCTCTGTTATCACACCAGATTGTTGCAGGCAAGAATGTTTTTCCAACAACATATCTGAGCGACTTGTCTAATGAGATTACTTCTTGACAGGCCTCACTCATTGCTAGATACTCTGCTTGACAGGTAGAGAGTATGACATATGTCTGTTTATGACTTCTCCATGCTATCACATCTCCAAATATTTTGATTATATATCCTCCAGTGGATGTAGAATCAATGCAATCTCTGAAACTAGCGTCTGTCAGCGACTCTAACTCATCTGTTTTACCTTTAAACATTAATCCTCTATTTGCAGTTCCTCTAAGATATCTGAAGACTCTTTTTACATCTTGCCAGTCTTTTTCCGTGGGCTCTAATTGTTATTCCCAGAAAGTTCTTTGGTTCCCCAAGATCCTTCGTCTCAAATGTTTCACTCAACTTCTTTTTGATTTCTTCTAATTTCTTCTGATCATTACTTGCAACCAACATATCATCTACATAAAGTAATACGATCACTATTTTGCCTTCTTTCCTCCACGTGAACAGGCATGGCTCATGTAGGTCGTTCTCTAATCCAAGTTTCTTAGCCTCTTCTGAAAATCTCTTATTCCATCTTTTCGGACTTATCTTCAATCCGTATAAAGCTCTATTCAATCTACACACCTTAGTCTTCTTGGTGTTTTCATCCAGTTCTACTCCTTCTGGAATTTCCATATATATTTCATCTTTTTCTTCTAGAACTCCATTTAAAAACGCAGTCTTAACATCTAGCTGACTAGCGTATAAATTATATTTATTTATTATTGCTAATATAGATCTAACCAGTGACAATCTTGAAACCGGTGCATATGTCTCTTTTAGATCATACACATTTTTGTCTTTACATCCTCTTATCACCAGTCTCGCTTTATATCTGGTTGATCCATCTTCTAATTTCCTCTTAAATACCCATCTTGAATCTATTATATTAGGTCGTCTTCCATCTAATTTCTCTAATGGTCTATCGACAAGTTCCCACACTTGATTAGCATACATAGATTCAAGTTCCTCTTTGACTGCAATTTTCCAATTCTCTCTTTCGTTACTTGATATAGCTTCTTCATAAGTAACAGGCTCTCTATTTAACGATGCCATAAGGCATTGATGTAATTCATCTTCATTCTCTATATTCCGTTGAATATTTTTCACATTAATATAATTAGCAAAGCTAACATCTTCTATTTTTCTCCGCACATCAGTGTCTCCATTATCTTCTAGTTTTCTTTTAGTTTTACTTCTAGTCATTGGAGCTTCACTTTCCTTTCGTGCGTCCTTCTGCTTCTGTTCGTCTAGTTGTGTTGTTTGTTTTCTCGGTCTACCTCTTTTCCTTTTCTCAGGAATCTCTAGTTTTTGTTCTCCCTTTTCCTCATCCTCTACAAATTCTTTCATCCAATTTTTATCTAAGTCTTTTTCTTCTTCTATTTGACTGTTTTGATATACATTTTTATATGTTATCTTTTCATTAAATCTAATGTGTCGGGACTCTATAAATTTTCTTGTGCTTGGATGCCAGAGTATATATCCAGTGTCAGTATATCCTACCAACACACCTCTAATAGCTCTCTTGTCAAATTTCGACGTAGGCTTTGGTACTCTTGCATATCCAATGCATCCAAATCTCTTTATTTGTTCGAAATGACAACTTGTTTCTGATGAGAACTTCTTCAAGGGGATCTCATACTCTATAGTCTTATGTGGAGATCTGTTGTACGCATGCACAGCAGCGTCAACTGCCAACTCCCACATACTCTTTGGTAATCCCGAGTCGAACATATATGTTCTTATTTTCTCTTGCATCGTTCTGTTGAACCTTTCTGCAACTCCATTATGTTCCGGAGTGTACGGTGGTGCATATATGGCTTCTATATTTTCTCTTTTTAACACTTCTTTAAAAGCACCTCCCGTAAATTCCTTGCCTTGATCTGACTTCACATAGCATAGCTTTTCTTCTTTTCCTAGTAGATTTCTGGCGGATATTAGGTATTTCTCTAGAGCTTCTCCCGATTCATCTTTCGTCTTCAAGGAGTAAGCTTTCGCTAATCTAGAATAATCGTCTATAAAGGTTATTATAAACCTCTTTCGTCCTGGATAAGATGTAGGTTTTATTGGACCCATGATATCCGTATGTATCACTTGTAGTGGTCTCTGTGCTCTATTTCTGTTTTCTTTAAACGGCAATTTTGCCATCTTTGCCATTATACAGACTTCACACTCTAATATGGAGTTATCAAACTTAACTGTCTCTAATCTCTTTTCTACTTTTTGTAGCTGTCTTAAATAGTTTAACGACGCATGACCTAATCTAACATGCCATAACATCGCCTCATTTATTTTCTCTAATTTCTTTACTTTTTCAATTACTGAGCTTTCACACATTTCTTCTATATTCTCTAATGTTTGTATATCTTCTAACTTAATGACTTGATCGAGTTCAGCATTATTGTATTCTATATTTTCGTTCACATTTGTGAGCTCTCCTTCATTCTCCCTCCCAATCGCAGAGCCAACATTGTCTCTTTCGTCTAATTCTCCCTCCGAAATTGATAATTCACTGGTCTGAGTGTTTGCTTGCGATTGTTCAGGAGACTCACAATGTGAAATAATTTCTGCTCTACATCTATACACAGCACATTCTACACTTTCATTGTCCTCTATATTATTGTTTTTAACCTCAAATTGCATAATCCAATTTGGTTTCTCATAAATTCCTTCAAAAACAATTTTATTTGTTAGTTTATTGTGAACTTTAAACACTTTATCATCTAAATAAATACTGAACCCTGCATCAGCCAGCTTTCTTAAAGATAGTAAATTTTCGGATACTTCCTTCGTTGCAATTACATTTGTTAATTTAATTACTTTCTTTTCTTTCTCATTTGTTAACAACAAAAGATCTCCTTTACCATCTATTGAAATGTCTGCAAGCTCATTCTTATTCGCGCATTTAATAACTCTATTATTACATTTTTCAAAGTTTGATAAAATTATATTCTTATTCACAATGTGATCTGTTGCACCCGAATCTACAATAAAATTGACTAATTCTTTTGAACTATCTCTATCTTCTATTACTTTAGCCATGCATAATTTACCTTCTTTTGGTTTTCCTTCAATTGCTGTTTGCGATGGTATAGTTTTCTTGGCTGGTTGTATTTTGGTTACTTTCCCTTTATTATCTACTCTTTTTGTTCCTCTTTGCGCAAATCTACCCTTTTTCTTTATATTTTTATTAACGGTTTTATTTGTATACCTTTTTCCTCTAAATCTGTTCGTCTGGGCTCCGGCATTAGGACAGCTATCACCCTTGTGTCCTCTAATCTCCTGGCAGTAATAACAGAACCAGGCCTCTGATCCCGCTAGTGGGCAGTCCTTCGCCATGTGACCCAATTTGTTGCATCGGTAGCACTTTACTTCTTTGTGCTCTTCTGCGGTAGCCCTCTGCACTCTAACCTCTGGTTTCTCTAGCTTCTCTCTAACTTCACTCTTAGTTTCTGCCTCTAACTGCATCATGAAAGATTTTATTTCATCTACATTCATTTCTTTAAGATTAGTTTGTCTTCTAATTAAATCTACATTCCTCAGTTCCGGCACATTAATTGACACAGCTTGATACAATGCAGATCTCATTTCTTGTTCTGTGAGAGGTACCGCATCTTCGCATGATTCATATTCTCTAATTATTGAATCAAAGCGTTCGCAAAAATCACTTACTTTTTCGTCTTTTCTCATTTTAATTTGATAGAGTTTAGTTCGTACCGATGTATGAGTAACGTTTACTTCACTCTTTTTATAACTTCTTAATTTCTTCAAAATTTCTTTTGGATCTTTCTCATGTAAAATCCTTTTATGATAATTTTCATCTAAATGATTGATTATTATATCTCTAACTAGACTTTTTCTCTTAGCAACTTTTAATTCGGAAAGATTTTCTGGATTATCAATGTTTGAATCTATTACATCTAATAACTCGTTATTCATTAATTCGGATTTTAAATAATCCATCCAAAGATCAAAGTTAGATTTTTGCGTCAGCTTATATTCTCTTCTAATATGCAACCTTTGACTGTTTAATTCTACTTCTAAAGCACTCTTAATTGTCTCTAAACTTCTATTTTTCTCGACTGAACAGACTGTTTCATCTAACTTTTTCTTTTTAGGCTCTACTTCTAATTCTTTAACCGTTTGTATACCGTTTTCTACTTTACTTTGCGTATTCTGTTTATTTACCTCTAAACGTCTAATCTTTAGTTTCTCTTTCTCTAAATTTACGCGGGCGACTTCTACCATGTTTTCCATCATGGAGGTTGCTTGGGTCATAACCTTATCCAACATCTTCATTACCGATTCCATTTTCTCAACCATCTTTTCTTGTTTCTCGTAAAGCATCTATGTCCCTATTGGTAGTACAGGACGATTTTCAGCCCATTCTCTATTTACATCTATGTTCTCTATAATTTTTGGTTTGCCGCGTTTCGGGATTGCACCCTTTGCTTCAGTCTCCTTCTTGTTCTCTTTTTCTTCTAAACAAAATTTTTAAATTACTCTATCTCTGAATACACAAGTATATTATCCTTCTTGATTGTTTTATTTAAAAAAAATACTCTCTTACCTTCATCTTTACTCATCTTTTTATCACTACCTCTCTCTCTCTCTCTCTACCACTGTGACCACGCTGCTGTCACTATCGTAGTCAACCAGTGAATCCTGGTTTTCTTCCTCATCCATCGGAAGATTTTTCGTCTTATCTTCTTCCATCTAAATCGGGATTCAAATATCAATTGAACATTAGCATTCCTCTTTTGACAAGATAAACCAACATTCATATTGACCGATAATAATTTACAATTTCTATCACTAGATCTCTTTCAGCGATAAAAATTTAATGCTTATGAGGCTATATAGAACGCACTGCAATTCACAATAACCCCAAAGCGAGAAAACCACGCGCCTCTGCAGGGCTATCCGCACGCGCACACCACTGTCCGTTGCGATCTCCAGCACTGCTGAAAAGATCTATGGGAGCTCGGGTTGATCACGCACGCGCACGGGGCCCATACAAATTTACGCGGCCTCCCTGTACAGTAATCAAGCT